TTGGATTCGGCCATGGAGAAAAAAAAACTAGCAAAGGTTTGACCTATTGGCTTTGATACCATGTAAAGGAAATGCCTCAAGCCAATATGCTGTGAGGAGATATTCATTTATAGATAGAAGATACATGGTAGTTGTACAATTACAAATATGGAAACTAATATACAAGGAAAACAAACTGCTACAATTGTGGAGAATCACTGATATCTTGGTCATAATCATTGGAGATAGACTGTCCTCTAATATATATAATCAATGATCATATTTTATTATCCTTTAAAAATTTAAGGGTCATATTTCATTTTCCTTTAAATTAAAATTTTCCTCCTTTAAATTTGAGTTTATCAATTGTAGTCGTTTATTGTTTTTAAAAATTGTTATTTTTAAGGTGGACTTTGAGTTTAGAAATACATCTTGATTTTGGCTTGGTACTTTATTTTAGGAAGGAGTTTGTCATCAAATTTTTAGGCAGCTTGGAGATTACTAGCTACCATTGATTCATACCCAAATAAATCCGTACCAATGGATCATCTACCATGTGTTCAAGTGGAACCTATTATGCATGAGTGGACCCCTTACTCATTAATAGTGTAGGAGGAAAATAGGAGATCAACTATTTTTTTTTGATTAGAAGATGAACAAATTAAATCAGTATTCTTTGGTCTTTATAGCACAGTAAAGGAAGATCGACTGGGTTAGAGGTGGGTTGGTGGCGAAGTATTTCAAAACAGATTTCTATGTGATTGAAGCAATTTTCAACTTGTTTTTCACCCATGGCAAGAATCTAATGTCAATTATTGAGCTCCATTCATACTCCAGCTCGATAAGTTTGACCCAATTAGCATTCATTTCAAAAACAATTTGACTCTAATGGAGTGGTTTCTTCTTTTACAACCAAAGTGATCTGAGATCTTCATATGAGTAGGTTTATGCACACAAGTCTTTCTTATTTTTTGCAAAAATGTATATCTAAAAGAGAGTTTACAGGGTAAATGAAGAGACAAGAGAAAATAGACACAAAAAATCTAATGTCGCCTATTTAGCTAGGTTCGAGCTCGAGCATGACAACATACTCTAAGGTTAACAAATTCAATTCAATTAACAACCCTATCGACAACAATTTGACTATATAAACAAAGTGGATCCCCCCTCCCCCCCTAAGCTTTATATGAGATCTTTAGACTGGCGCTGAATAGGTTTGTGTACACACCTTTTTTTTTTTTGTGACAACGTATTATCCACAAGGAGTTTATGGAGTAAATGAAAACACAACAAAGAACACGAACAAAAAATACAAAAGGAGTGAAAACCATTAACATCTTTTCTGGTTTCTCTTAAAAGGCCTCAGCACAATTATTTTTACCCATCCTTTGGTTAGTTGTCCAGGAATAGCAGTTTTCACACTATTCATGGATACAGGTCTAGTGATTTATCAACCACCGATGACAATTTCAGAAGTATTTTATCATTATTGACCACAAATTACAGGTAGGATAGACTTAAACAGAAAGCTAAGGAATTCATACTAAATAACATTGCAAGGTGATGGGTCTGCAATAGGCAACACATACAACTAAGGCCACATACAGGAAATGACTTTTTTCTTTCAAGAGTTGTCTTTCTTTCTGAAGTTAATAATCATACGGGTTATTGCGGTTATCAGTCGTATTCTGGTCAATGGTTGTCACCTCAAAGTCTATAGTCATGTTAACTATATGGAGGATCCTACTTTCCCCTCTATGACCTCCACTTTGAGCCTGTTCAGGCTTTTTTCTAAATAGCATTTTTCTAAATAGCTATTTTTCCTGAAAGTCCTTTTGACATTGTGGCGCACCCATTACTCTCTGAACATTAATAGCCAAATCACTCGATAATAAATAATCACCAACAATAGATAAGCCAAAAAATTAAATAACTCAATAGATCATGCCACGGTTTTAGACATCAAAAGTACATTTCTATGACCTTCACTTTAGATGAGCAATAAACCTTACTTATTTATCTTACAATACACATTTTTCGCAGTTAGTCATGCTACATCCACACGTCAAACTTTGCAACCTGCGACAACTCAAGATGTTAGCAAATAAACATTTTACAGCAACAATACTTTGCATATGATAATGTTATGAACAATACTTTCATGTGTCAAGGCCTTTCACACTTTGCAAGAAATTGAAGTCTAATCTTCTGGAGAGCTGCAACAACCTCCCTCACGCTAATCCTCTCTTCAGGTGATTCTATGGAGCACTTTAGAGCCAATTCCAATACGGATGATACACATTGCACATTCACAGTCAAGTATTCATCTTCTGGTGTTACTAAGTTGGCATCTATAACTTGGATTATCTCATTTGGTAGGCAATCATTCACCCAATGCTTGAGGCTCATCTCCAGCGAACTTTTCATCACAGGGATTTGTCCTTGTAAAGGTCTCCATCAACATAATGCCATAGCTGTAAACATCACACCTTGTTGAGACTAATCCTTCCAATCCGTACTCTATATCCATCATATGATTAATCAACAAAATTATAATACTCGCAAGGAATGTTACACATTGTACAAAATTACATTGCCAAAAAAAAGAAACAACCAAAGTTGTAAAGAGAATCAAATGCATAAAAGGGTATAAATTAAAATGGTAAAAGTGTCACCTGGTGCAATGTAGCCCAATGTTGCCAGAGTCTTGTTTATTGCAATACTCTCCTCACCCAATAATTTTGCAATGCCGAAATCACTGACATGTGCAACCATATGTTCATCTAGCAAGACATTGCTAGGCTTTAAGTCACAGTGGATCACAGGACTCGGGTAGCCATGGTGCAGATAATCCAATGCACTTACGACATCTATCATTATATCTAATCTTTGCAAGATGTCCAAGAAATAGTTATGGGAATACAACCATTTCTCAAGGCTTCCATTGGGCATATACTCGAGTACTATTGCTTTGAAATAAAGATTAGGGCAACTGCTGATAACTTTGGTGAGATTGCGGTGGCGAAGGTTGCATAATACTTCACATTCTGTATCAAAACAATTCAATGCACCTTCTAGTTGCAAATTGAAAACTTTTACAGCCAAATGCGTCCCATCCGCAAGAATTCCTTTGTAAACTGAACCAAAACCACCCATGCCAAGCAAGTTGATTTCACTGAACTCGTGAGTTGCATGTCGAAGTTCGTAGTAGGAAATTCTTCCATGGGTTATTGGAGGTAACAAATCATTTTCATGGGGAACATTACTTCTCCTATGTCGTTTGATCAAAAAGAATATCAAGGCCAATGCCAAAACCATAGATGCAACTGCTAGTGAGATATATGCAACTAGAAGCATTATTTTCTTCTTTGATCTTTCAAGAGAACTACTCTTGCAGAGAGGCACTAGGAACCTAGGTGCACCACACAAATCTTCATTTGACAAAAAAGACTGATAAGTGAAGTTTGCAAAAGGTCCACCATTTGGAATTTCTCCTCTTAATTTATTGTGAGATACATTGAGGTATTTAAGAAACAAGAGCATCTCTATGGACTTTGGAATCGTTCCAGAGATATTGTTATGAGATAAATCCAATAAACTCTAGGCTTACCAATTTTCCAAGTGACTCGGGTAAGGAGCCCTGCAATCTGTTATGCTCTAATGACAGGATCGACATACCTTGTAGGCCTACAATTGTGCTAGGGATAATGTCTAATAACTAATTCCTTGAGAGATCTATTGTTGTGACAACTTTTAGATTTCCAATTTCTGGTGTTATATACCCAGTTAAAGAATTTGAAGACAAGTTCAACTCCAAAAGATCTTTGAGTCTCCATAGGTTTATGGGTATGCTGAAATTTAATTTGTTGGAATCCAGATAGAGATATCTTAGAGAAGTAATATTTTCTAAGCATGTTGGCATAGAGTTAGAAAACTCATTTTTGCTCAAATCTAGAAAACCCACGTTCCTTAAATCGCAGACACCACTCAGAAAAGATCCTGGTATTTTGTTTTGTTCAAGATGCAAAATTTGAAGTTTCCACAACTCTTTGATTGTTGGCGGAATCAATTCATCTATGTCGTTGTGATCAAGGTCCACGAATGCCAAATTGTTTAAATTGCTAATCTCATTAGGAATATTTCCTTTAATTTCACAATGGCTTGCATGGAGAGTATAAAGAGAAGTGGACAGATTGCCAATGGAAACTGGAAGAATGCCATTGAAAGGATTTCTAGATACGCTCAATACCCTTAGTTGTCTGCAATTTATCAAAGAAGTGAAAAAGGTTAACTCCATAGATGAGGATTCTCTAGTGAAGTTGTTTCCTGGCAACACAAGATCTTCAAGGAGTTCTAGGCTACCCAATGATTTGGGTAGTGTACCAGAGAATTGGTTGACTCCGAAATATATTTTGGTGATTCTAGAAGCATTTGAGATAGAGTCGGGAACAATTCCATTCAAATTATTCCATCCAAGATATAATTGTATAAGATTAGGTAGCCAAATTCCCATACTTGATGGAAGAGTGCCTGAAAGATGATTGTTCTCAAGGAATATGGATTCTAGTGTAGTGATGTTGAAAATTGCTGTTGGAATTGGACCCTTGAGGCGGTTGTAACCCAAGTGTAAATCACCCAAATTGTTAAGACCGCCAATTTCTTGTGGAATAGCACCTGAAAATGTCAAAAAAAAAGAAGAAGAAGAAGGAAGTTAATACTATCAATTTCTCTCTCTCTCTCTCTCTCTATATATATATATATATATATATACAAATTGTTAAGATTGTCAATTTCTCGTCGAATAGCACCTGAAAATGTTAAAAAAAATTAAGTTAATGCTATCAATTCTCTCTCTCTCTCTATATATATATGTGTGTGTGTGTGTGTGTATATGTATATTTATATACACACACTATGAAGATGGAATTTATGCCCAATACCTTTAGGTATATACTTTATATACGTACTGTTTGATCATGATTTGACTATCACTAAACAAAGAAGCCCAAAATTAAATTTAAAACTTACCAAGTTTCACTATTAACTTATAACCAATTAACATTGCCATATTCATGATACTCCTATTCATATAAGGAATGTCTATTTAATTTTACAATCAGATTAAATCTTTGAAAAGTAAGAAAAAAAATTGATTGATCTTGCCAAGTTGGTCAACCAGTTGCCCGGGCTAGTGTAGGCCATTCTTTATAACCCATATAGTTCTACGATACCCGTTTAGCTTGTGGATCCAATCTCAACACTCTTTCAATCCATGAACTCCCCAGAAGCTACCACCACCTAAAACTGTTAACTGTTAACTCCAATCACATAATTACTTAGTTAAATTAATTGAGTATGATGAAAGAAAAAATAAAATAAGATTTAATTGTATTATTAATATTTAATATGACATCAACATTACTTTTTTAGCTAATAGTTGAATTTAATAGGTTTTAACAATTAATTTAGTATGCTTTAACATCGAGAAATGCGATAGGAATCTTATTAGGAACCTAATTGACCGTCAAGACACGTGAGTATTTTTTAAATATTATTGACTATCAAATGTCAAAAAGATATAAAAATGTTAATTACACAAATAACAGGTATCTAAACGTTTGTTTAAGAAAATGATAAAAAGTTATACCTGTCAAATTGAGATTATTAAGATATAGAACCACGAGCAAAGTACAGTTCCCAATACTTATGGGAATGCCTCACGTGACTGCCTTGTTATTGTTAAGAGAGATGGACTCGAGCTTAGGAGCATGCGAGCACATATCCCATGGTAGACTCCCAAACAAGTTATTGTCTTGAAGATTAAGCAACTTTAAAGAAGTGTTGAAAATAGAAGATGGTATGTGACCGACAAGTCCATTTTTCGCCATGGCTAATTCCTCCAAGTTCAGATCGCCTATCTCAGGTGGGATTTCACCTGCAATATGCAAAATGTGGACCATACCAACAAATTATGTATATATTGTTGGAGATTAAACCAAAGCTAACAAATTATTTATGTATTTTGTTATCATGTGGAGTTAGTTTCCATTATCGGAATCTTACATTCTTGGGAAGCACTACATGAGAGTCTATTATGTTTTGTTGATAAGTCTATGGTGGTAGACTCTGATTATGCACAAAATTGACTTTGTGCAAGATCAACAGTCAAGTATGTGTAAAGGTGCAATTAATGAGTGACAAACAAGCAATCAATGACAATTAAGAGTAAAACAGTAAATAATGGATCAACACAAGTATTTATAGTGGTTCGGTCTCGGATGACCTACTTTACTTTCGGGAATGGCAGCGGCGGCCTATGTTCTTTATTGATGAATGATAGTACTCCGGAGAGATACAATGCTTTTGGGGAGACAGAGAGAAAGCAATGAGTGTAGGGGTGCAGAGAGGTTTCAGAGGCGTGCCCTCAATGTTGAGAGGGCTTACATTATATAGTTAGGGTAAGGCGGTGATATGGGTGAATAGATTTCTACTACTTTGGTAAGTGTAGTTATGGTAGGAGATCTCTACGCCTATCCCGATGTTTACTCCCTCATGCTCCTATTCTTTCGGAGGAAGACTCTTAGCTGGATTGGACTTGATCCTCGTCTTGAGCATGAACCTATCTTGAGTTGGTGTGACTTGGACTTGGATTGGAGTTCTAAAGTGAAGAGGAGCAAAGAGGGAGGCGCCCGAGGGGCCAGCCTAGGTGGTGCTCAAGGGCTGCCAAGTCTCTTGGGCGTTGGCTTTGGGGCGTTGGGTGTTGACCTCTTGATGTCTTCCTTTTCCAATGGGTCGATCCAGTTTCGATTTGGATTTTCCTTCGAGCTTTCTCGAATTGTTTTTATTGGGCCTATCCCAGTCAAATTCGTGCTTGTCATTTGCCCCCCATACCCCAAGCCTCTGATTTTCATAGGGAGGAAGGGATTGAGGGCATGTGTTTCGTCTTTCTCTGAGTGAGCAGAATTTTTTTTTTTCGTCTTCAGGACTCCGCTGTATTGATCGGTATCGAATAAAATTTTTTTTTATATATTTTTTTTATTTTTTGGCTGATTGGGAGCCACCCACTTTATTTAACTTTTCTTTCCCTTTTTTTTTGAATGGGCTGATTGGGCGTCGCCCACTTTGTCTATTTTTTCAACTTCTTTTTTTTTTCTTTCTTTTCTTCCTGTTGGGTGCCGACCTTCTCCCCTCTCTTTTTTTTTCTTTTCTTTCTTCCTTTGTCTTGGCTGCTGTTGGGCGCCGCCCCTCCCTCTCTCCCTTTCTCTTTTTTTTTTTGCTTGGTTTGGCTTGGGCGCCACTTCTTTTCCTTCTTTTTTTTTTCTTTGGCTTCTTGGGCTTTGGTTTGGGCGCCGCCCATCTCTTCTTTTCCTTTTTTTTTTTTGGTGGATCCTTGATGCAAAATGAGGAGGGATTTTGGCGAGGAGTCCATGGGTGTGGGCGACACCCTGTCACGTGCTGGCAATTTGGGTCTTGCACTAGGCGTTCATGAAGGTGAGATGGGAGACTGGGCAAGATGGGAGGACCCATCCCCATGGGCGAGGCCAGCGCCTTGTTGGGTAGTGCCTTCTTTGCTGTGGACCCCGGTATGGCATCAAATGTAGGGGGAGACTTGGTGGGTGAAGCCAGCTTGATAGGCGAGGCAGGAGCATTGCAGATGGCTTTGGGCACCTCTTTTAGGCGAGAGGGAGAGCTGGGCGGTGCCAGGAGAAGGCTGGTAGGGTACTTTGGGCTCTGCCAGGAGGCTAGGCAGGCGCCTTGGGTGTTGCTAGGAGGCCTTGGGCACTGCTGTGTTTGTGTTTAGGCAACACCTTGAGCCTTACTATGGGGGACACATCTCTGATGCTTGGTCATTAACTAGCATTGTTTTAGATTTTAGGAACTCTTGACGGAGCGATGATGGAGGTGGAGGTTCTATGTGCTGTCTTTTCCTCCTCCCAAGAGGGTGATATTTGATCCCTCTAGTGTTTCTCGGTCAAGGTCCAATTGCCAGGTTGCTTCCCGGGAGATGGGTCCCAATGGTGCCCCCACTATTTTCCAGACTGGGACTTTTGTGCTAGCCTTTGTACTGCTATAGAAGTTGGGACTCTTATGCGGTCTTCTATGGGGAATGTAGGTCTACATAACTGTCCTGCTTTGACCTGACTTTGGTCAATGAAAGGCTTTGGACCTTTGGGATATCAGAGAGGCAGGCATAGAGGCTGCTGAAGAGCAAGTAGGGCTCGAGGGACAAGCACGAAAGGATGTCACAGAGCAAGTAGGGCTCAGGTGGTAAGGTACAAGAGGATGCCACGGAGCAATAGGGCTCGAGCGACAGACACGAGAGGATGCCGCGGAGCAAGTAGGGCTCAGGTGGCAGGCACGAGAAGATGCCACGGAGCAATAGGGCTCGAGCGACAGGCACGAGAGGATGCCGTGGAGCAAGTAGGGCTCAGGTGACATGCACGAGAGGATGTCACGGAGTAGTAGGGCTCGGGCAGCACGCACGAGAGGATATCACAGAGCAAGTAGGGCTGGGACGACAGACACGAGAGCATGCCGCAGAGTAGTAGGGCTCGGGCAGCAGGCACGAGAGGATGCCGCGGAGCAAGTAGGGCTCAGGCGACAGACACGAGAGAATGTCGCGGAGCAGTTGGGGTTGGCTCATGAATGAGGCGCTAAGCTGGTGATTGAGGCTGCTCGAGAGCAGAGATAGAACTACGTATAGCTCAGAAGAAGGCTGTCGTGGTAGAGACACATTCCATTGAGATGGAGATGAGGAGAGCTCTCTCATTCCACTGAGATGGAGATGAAAAGGGCTCTGAGGAGCTGGGCGCCTGAGACTCATTCCACTAAGATGGAGATGAGGAGGGTGTTGAGGAGCTGGGCGCCTGGTGTTGGGTGCCTAAAGCTGGGTGCCTGGTGAGAGAGGGCGAGACCCATCATATAGGCCGCCTGGTGAGAGGGGGGAGATCCATCATTTAGGCGACATCAAAGGAAGCGCTAAGTGGAGAAGGCGAGACCGTCATGGGGGCGTCTAAAGTGGAGAGAGCGAGACCCCTCGTCTGGACGCCTTTTGACTTTTTGTCTACCTTGTTGTTGATAGGTCGTAGGTTGTTTGAGATGAAAACAAGACAATTATAAAAACATTAATCTTGCAAAATTTTATTTCATAAAATAATTAATAACAAAATAAATCAACTAAAATTGTAAAAGATAAATAAAATCTTCAGGCGTGTCCCATAGGTGGGCCGATGTTTCCTTGGCGGAGTTGTAGCCCTCAAGAGATTGTTTGAATTTTTCCGAGGGGTTGCTGGCGTTCTCTGTTGTCCTGGTCCCAATCAGGTGGCGGGACTTGTCATTTGCCAGCAACGTATTGCCTCAACTGACCACGCTGTATGAGCTCCTCTATCTGTCTCTTGACCTTATAGCAGTCATATGTGTCGTGGCCATGGTTACGGTGGAAGCGACAGTACCTAATGTGATTTCTACGGTTTGGGGCAGACTTCATTTTTTCAGGCCAAAGGAGCGTGGGGTCATCCTGTATCTGGAATAAGATGTGCTCCACCGAGGCGTTGAGTGGCGTGAAAGGTTGTTGGTCTCTCAGGGGGTACGGACTGAGACGGTCCTTGATAGAAACTCTTTCGGTTCTCTTTCTCTTGTTCTCCGCCTCCCACTTGTTTTTGTGGGTGTCTTTCCTCTTCTCCCTTCCTTGGGAGGACTCACTTCGACAGGCCTTGGTGACGTCCTCAGCATTCATGTACTTTTGTGCCATTGACAACAGCTCGGGCATGTTGGAGGGCAGCTTCTTGAGGACAGAGAACATGAAACTGGAGGTGCGGAGGCCAGCGATAAAGGAGGCAAGAGATACCTTATCATCTGGCTCCTCAATCTGGAGAGCCTCCTCGGTGAAGCGGGTGAGATAGTCTCTTAGGCTTTCATCTTTGTTCTGCTTGATGGTGAGCAGGTGGGTCATTGGTCTCTGATGTCGGCGTCCCCCAATGAAGTGGGAGACGAAGGACCTGTTGAGTTCTACGAAGGGGTGGATGGATGAGGGTTTGATCCTAACAAACCATTGACGTGCGGGCCCCTTAAGGGTGGTAGGGAAGACTTTACACATAATCTCCTCAGGCACGTTGTGTAGTTGCATGAGGGATTTGTAGGTGTCTAAGTGGTCGAGGGGGGTCTTTGGTGCCATCGAAGATCTCGAAGGTGGGCATCTTGAACTTCGAAGGCAACTGGTAATTAACAATGTCAATAAAAAAAGGAGTATCGGTGAGCCTTACCAGATAGTCCACGGTTTCAGGCATCTGCGCCTTGATGGCGTTGAGGGCATTACCAAGCTGGTCTTGCATTTCCCTGATCTTCTAGTCCCACTGGTTGGGGACATCTTCGACCGGGTGATGGGATTGGCTCTCGTGGTCTCCGTATTGACTTTCTCCTTCGCCCTCCTGTGCAGGCACGTGCGAAAGGGGAACATGTGTGCTCCCTGAGCGTTGTGGAGGGATCGTCTGACGAGGGGCTCCCAGGCGTGGTCCTGGAATATTCTGGCGAGGGACCTGACACCCAGAAGAGACAGGTAGAGGCTCCTCTTCTATTGGAGGGAGTGGGACTCCTCCTGCGGGGTGATGGGTGACGCCCCCTTGGTTGAGCATTAACTGGATCATCTGCTGGTTTTGTTTCACCAGTAGTTGCATAGTCTGTAGAAGCTGTTGCTGTTGTCCAACGGCGGGAGTCACCGTGGCAGAGGGTTCTGAAGGCGCGAGGGGAGGTGGAGCCTCCTCTCGGTGCGTAGGGTTGTTGTCTCCTAGTTGATGAGATCTTGATTTGGTCGTGATTGTCATGGATTGTAAGAAGGATTGAGAGGTAGTAGAAACTTTGTCGTTTCCCACAGACGGCGCCAAACTGATGATGCACAAAATTGACTTCGTGTAAGATCAACAGTCAAGTATGTGTAAAGGTGCAATTAATGAGTGACAAACAAGCAATCGATGACAATTAAGAGTAAAACAGTAAATAATGGATCAACACAAGTATTTATAGTGGTTTGGTCTCGGATGACCTACATTACTTTCGGGAATGGCAGCGGTGGCCTATGTTCTTTATTGATGAATGATAGTACTCCGGAGAGATACAATGCTTTTAGGGAGACAGAGAGAAAGCAATGAGTGTAGGGGTGCAAAGAGGTTTCAGAGGCGTGCCCTCAATGTTGAGAGGGCTTACATTATATAGTTAGGGTAAGGCGGTGACGTGGGTGAATGGATTTCTACTACTTTGGTAAGTGTAGTTATGGTAGGAGATCTCTGCGCCTATCCCGATGTTTACTCCCTCATGCTCCTATTCTTTCGGAGGAAGACTCTCAGCTGGATTGGACTTGATTCTCGTCTTGAGCATGGACCTGTCTTGAGTTGGTGTGACTTGGACTTGGATTGGAGTTCTAAAGTGAAGAGGAGCAAAGAGGGAGGCGCCCAAGGGCTGCCAAGTCTCTTGGGCGTTGGGTGTTGACCTCTTGATGTCTTCCTTTCCAATGGGTCGATCCAGTTTCAATTTGGACTTTCCATCGAGCTTTCTCGGATTTTTTTCATTAGGCCTAGCCCAGTCAAATTCGTGCTCGTCAGACTCGACGTTCAAAGCGACAGATCCTTGTTTCGGGTGCTATAATTGTTTACATATATTGCTTTCTGTAATATCACTAAATTTCAACGTTCAATGGAACCTATGGTCAATATAATAGCTATAATGAATTTTGTCGGCAAATTAACACAATATGCAACTAACTTATATGCAATTGTTTGGCCAAGCCTGTAGCCATCGCTAACACCTTGTTTGTAAGCACACATGAACATGCTACAATAACACTGACACATTATGTAGAGATTACCTTTTAGTGTGTTGTCTCTAAGATCCAAACTCTTCAGCATGGTCAAGTTGTCGATTCCTCTAGGTATGCTGCCCATGAATTTGTTATAGGCCAATGATAAAATCCGAAGCTTCCCACATCTGTACCAATTGGATGGGAGAAGACCTTGAAACTGATTAGAATAAAGATAGATTTCTTTGAGTTCAGGTAATTGATTACACATATCTCTTGGGATGGGGCCAGATAAGTTATTATATGTAAAAATAATCTGTTCCAATGAAGACATGTTGAAGATGAATTGTATGGAACCAGAAAGCTGGTTATATCCCAATCTCAATATTTTCAAGCTAGAATATGCCCTTGTAGATGATTGCCCGATAACCGCATCACCACAAGGCTAGTGATGTTGCCAAGGGAAGGCGGGATAACACCTGTGAAACTATTATAATGCATGACCAAGACTTCAAGTTCGGGTAAGATCCCAAACGATGATGGAATCTCCCCACTAAGAGAGTTGTATCCCAAATAAATTTCTTTCAATCGACGCAAATGACCCAACTCCTTGGGGACATGGCAGTGGAAAGTGTTGTTACTGAGTTTGAGGGAGGCAAGAAATGAGAGATTTCCTAGATATGGAGAAATGGTGCCATTGAGACCCAGGTTGGGAAGATTCAAGGCTGTGACTCTTTCGTGACGAATGCCATAAGAGATGCCAATCCAATTGCAAACTGGGGTGGTGGTGGACCAATTTTTTACAGAATATTTTGACGGTCAAACCTGATTTGAGCTTTGAAGGCAAGAAGAGCTGATTGATAGGAGTCTAAATTAGTTTCAGTCCTTGCAAAGCAAGCCATGAGGGTGTGGCAGAAAAGAGAAATAAATTTCTTCATGAGGGTGTTAGGTTTGGAATATGGACTCACGCAGCAGAGAAGACTTGATTGGTGAAGGATGGTGACTAAGATACTTATAGAGATGCCAGAAGGAAGCTTCATGTCAAGGATACTATTTTGGTCATAGTAATGACACCACCACTATCAAGAGTCGGTGATTAAAAAAACACAATCGGCCACACTTGTTTTCATCTAAAAACGGTTTCATCTAGTCCTTTAAAGAAAAATTAGTTTAAGATAATCAAATATTGTATTATTTTCTACCAAATATGATGTTGAGGATGTTAGTCAGCAGAGCCAAAAGTTTCATAATATGAACCTAATATAAAGTAATCTTTAAATAAATTTAGTTGAATCTTACGCACTAGTACACAAACCAAATAAACCTTGTGAGAGTTTAAAAACAAAAAATTGTCCAACAATACTTACCTTTCTTTTACATTAAATTTGGCTGAACATGAGTATTTAAACCGGATTGGGGTTCGGGTCCGGATTGATTATTGAAATTTGATACTCCAATCCAAATAATATTCGAAATTAAATTTTAGTATTTAAACTAGCGTAGCCCCTTAGAAAAAATAAAGTAACTCAAGCATGATTGTTGTTCTACTTTATTTATTTTTTTCGATCTTATTATTATTCTACTTTATTTATTATTATTATTTTATTTTTTTTGCAAAATTACATGATTTTAGGCTTTGTTTTAATCGTAGGATTGAAAGCCTATGACTATAATTTCATCACAAGTTTATGGCAAAATTTCCATAGCAGTAGATTATTATGGATGTCTTGTATTTTATGCTGGTGAAATATTTATATGAATGCCCCCAAAGACACGGCCAAAAGGCTCCAATTTCAAAACAAAGAAGTCTGTTCTTCAGTTCTTCTTTTGCTTTGGTCTTTGGCCTTGTCTTTCACTCTATGAACTTGTCATGCAGAGTCTGCCTCCTCCCCCTCCCCACTCCCCTCTCCTCCCTTTTTCCAAATTTCGTTGTGTCACCCCTATACGTATTCCAACCTCAAGAATTAGTGTACAAAAGTTGAAAAATGTCTCAAACTCTCATTGGAAGTTCATTTTATTAATCGTAATCTTAATTGAAAAGTGAGTATTTCATTCTCGATTAGGGGATATTTCGGTTTTGATTATTATAGTAATATTATATATGTAGTGTTTGACTATTGCTAGAATAATGTTTATTTCATGTTTGATTTCAAGAATGAACTTATTTTTGGAAAGGGGCTTGATTTTAGAAAGATATTTTAACTGTAGTTATTTACTTTATTTTATGAATTGAAGAAGCTTGATTTTTATTTTTTTTATTTTTTTTACAACACTCAACGAGGGTACAAGATTAGGAGCCCTAGTCATGGGTTTAGGATACCGACAATCATTGGGAATTTGCTGGGAAGTTATCGTAGGGTTGTTTTGTTAATATAAATAAGTTAAGGTCATAGTGCAATAAAATGCAAGGTCATTTTTTTTTCAATATATGAAAAAATCAAAGTCACAACTAAAACTTACATAATTTTTTGGATTTGGAAAATTCTCAATCTGAATATGCGCGTTTCATGAGATCTAGTGGGGGTCCCAATCAAAAATGACTTTAATTAATACTTTATTTTTGGGTAAAGAGCATTTTTCTCAAATACTTTATTGCACAGGTGGGGATAGTAGTGACAGTGGGAAGAGATTTATAATTGAAATATATAAGAAAATGGAGTCACATTTGGTGTTTGGCCGTGCCTCACACTCTTACGAACTTTTTTTGCAAAGAAGTCTCCTTCCTCACCAACCCTGCGCCTCTTTTCCTCCCTTTTTTCAAATTTTCCATGAATGGCACCCTACATTCATTATTCTAATATGAAAGTGATTCCAACCTCAAGAATTAGTCTGCAGAAGCTGAAAAATGTCTTAAAGTGTCTGGTAGCTATGAACTTGTAGTCCCATTTGGACAGTAATATTAATAATTGAAAAATGAGTAGTTCATTCTCGATTAAGGAGTATTCGGCTCTTGGTTAACTATAGTAATATGATATTTAGTGATGGGACATATTTGAAGATTGATGGGGAGACGACACGTGTCCTCAACATAGTGAACTTGGAGCCTTAGTGGAGTGACACGTGTCCTTGGCGTGAGTACCCTCTGAATTCCTTGTGACTGACACGTGTTGTCGATGTGTATGACCCTTGAGGCGTTGCCCGCTCGACGCATGTCCTCGACATTTAGGTCCCCCAGAGTATTCCATGTTTTACACGTGTCCTCAGCACTTAGGTCCATGGAGCCCCAGTTACTTGACACGTGTCCTCGACACCTAGGTCTCCAGGGCATTATCTACTTGACACGTGTTCTCGGTGCAAAGGCCTCCACGTCGTCGAAGTGTCAATAGTTGTTTTGATGGTTATTAAGACTTGGAAACAGAGTTGGATGTCAATCATCGCTTCCCCCTTTCCAAGGAAATTAGAATGGCAGGGAAGACAGTTTAGTAACCAATAATAAGGGTGCACGAAGTACAAATCATTGAAAATTTGATCTCTTGGGGGGTAATTGACAAAGATGCCCCAGCACGTGTGCAACCACAACAAAGGCTCATTCAATGACCCAATCAAAGGATGAGACATATTTATTACTCGACAATGTTAGAAAAACGAGTATTAAATGCTTGGGAATCTGAGCATTAAAGGCAAAAATTTCTACCACGAGAAAAGGGCGAGCCAATGGGGAGCCTTTCCTCTAAAGAACCCAGATGTCCGCAATGATTAGCTCTTAAAGAGGTATAAATAACACTCTAAAAACCCAAGTCTAAGATACGCAAACCTTGACTCAAGCAATAGAACAGTACTTTTCCAACCCTCTCTCAAATACTGACTTGACCGTCGAAGGGGTCATGCCGAAAAATACTTTCACGCCCTTTTAACTCTTATTTTTGAGTGACAGGACTCTGTTCAAAGTCTACAAGTGAACAGATCATGTATAAAAGAGTTCTACCTCCATTCGTTCCATTCAACTCCTAGTGGGATATTGACTTTCTAGGAAAATCTCGAGTTCATTATGGGAGAAATCTGTCATTTTACTCATTGTGCAAGAATTATCTCGCACATTTAGTGTTTTACTATAGTTAGCAATGTAATACATGTTTGGGGTAAACAAGAGTTAGCTCAAGCATGTATGTTGTTTATTGCTTTAAAATGTCATAATTTTGTAATTAGTTTGGATGGTGGAATGAAAGGGCTAAGAATGAATATTCACTTTAAGCATGTATGGTCAATTGCCTTGCCCACACCATGCACATGCTTTTGCTTTTAGATAGATGGGAACTTAATCTAATACAAAAATTGGATTAAAAGTGGGTTCTATTTAATATTGAAACTCACAATTAATTCAAGGGTTGTATTGGATTAGGTTCCTATGACATTGCTCTTTTTAAATTTCTTTCTTGACGGATCGTCTACCTTGTATTAAAATAGAACACATTATACATGAGTGGACCATTTATTCATTAATAGGGTATGAGCAAAATAGGAGATGGATTTAGTAAATCACCATTTTTTTGGTCTCTATAGGCACACTAAAAGAAGATCGACTGAGTTAGAGGTGGGTTGGTAGCAACGTATTTCAAGCCAGTTTTCAATGTGATTTAAGCAATTTTCAACGTGTGTTTCTTATGCCACTGATTCCTAATGTGCAATGGACTCACTCTCTTCTCAAATAGATTTTTGGAAAATTTAACTTCTATGGTAAACTTCTACCGAAGTGAGCTTGAGCAACAACAAAGTTCAATTGTTGAATTCAGCATAAGCTTGAGCTTGACCAATCAATACCAAGCTGCCCTTGAGTATTCTTTATTTATTTATTTATTTATTTTGCTACAGAGTGTCTAGGCACTACTTTCTCGAGCTCAGATACTGGACACCGTAGTCCGAGCGGAGCGAGTTTAAAATATATCTCAAAAGATGTCTGGCCCTTGGGAGATATAGGAAGTGTTAAACTTAAGATCTCTAGATTTTCAGAGACCAAACTCATCAACTACTGAACTATCTCTAAAGATTGTGTTTGAGTATACTTGAGCTCAATAAATTTGGTTCGATTAACACCTCTAAGTGTGAGCCACTAGGAAAGAGAGATGTAAAATAATTGTTCCATTGTTGGGCCATAGCTTGTATATAGTATTATTATTCCCCTTTCATCAATCCCTTTGAAGAAAAATTAGATCAAGTTGGAACCCAATCCACCGCATGTTTTGAATTGACAGCCATTGACTATAGTTGCTTTATAAAAGGTGACTATAGTTGATTTATAAAAGTGAAAAAAATGAATAAAAATTGGTCCATATCAAGAATCTAATGTTGATTATTGAGCTAAGTTCATACTTATCAAGTTTGATAAGTTTGACCAAATAGCACCCATTTTGAAAACAATTCGACTCTAATGGTTTCTTCTTTTCGAGCGAAAGTGATCTGGATGTTTACATTTGGGCTGAGTAGCAAATCATTCATCCAGGCTCAAATCTCTGACCTTACTAAGTTGGCATCTATACCTTTGATTATGGAATTTGGTAGCAAATCATTCATCCAATGCTTGAGGTTCAAATCTCCACCAAACTTTTCACAGAGGATTTTCCCCTTGTAAATGTCTCCATCAACAAAATGTCATAGGCATAAACATCAAGGGTGTTAGGGGTGTCTATGTGTTGGACTTGCCCATGAGACCTGTTACTTAACCCAAAAAAATAAATCTGAAACTTGATCGTTGACCCTCTCGAATTAGAGCTCAATATCCTTCAAGAGAGAACTTCG